ATGTGCCAGGTTCAGCGCCTTCTCCTTGGCATACTAAGTCTGCAAATAAACCCCGGTGCCAATTTCCAAAGCCCTTTCCATGTCCCATCATGACTTCCTCCCCAGCAGGCTTATCAATGCTTCACCAGCTGCACCCTTGGCACAGCCCCTGTGCCAGCTCCCCCCGCCCCCAAGCAAGTGAGGACCAGTTCATTGCCAGGCCCTCCAGTTCACACTGTGATGTGAAGCCGTGCGCAGCGGCGGTCACATGCGTGTGCTGAGAGCTCCACATTCCAACCCCCCCTTGGGGGAGGACCGCGTCAGCCCCTGCACGCAGACCCTTGCCAGCGCAGACTGAAGCCAAGTGTTAAACGGTTCAAGCCCCAGAGCTGTCCCGGGGCAGGGGGAAGGAGCTCATCGTGGCACCTGAGATCTCACGGTCAGGAGCAGACCTCTGACCCCTGGCCACACTGGGGAATGTGTGGGAGAGGAGGCCGCGGAGAGGCGCCTGGGGGCCGGGCATCTGCGGACCAGCGCTTGGGGGCAGGCGGTACTTGCACCAGCTCCTCCCAACAAGGTCATGGGCGAGGGCGGCGTGGAGGCGGCGGTCTTGGACGGATGAAGCTCGTGTTCCGGGGCAGGAGCCCAGACCTGGGCGAGCCGTGGCCATTCACTGGGCCCCTCCTGATGGAGGTGACCTCGCTGGAGACAGGGAAGGACTCAGGATTTGAGGGCCCAAATGAGGTTCAGCTGCACAGTAACTTCTGGACACAAATCAATGAACTAGAGAACAAAAGAAGAATGTGAAAGAGCAGAACTAAAAGCTGCTCCTAGGATAAAATGAACACAACGCAGGCTCGTTCTGGCCGATGAAACACCAGGAGTGCGGAGCACCCTCTGGTCCAAGGCAGCGAGGCCCCAGGGTGCCTTCTCCGAGGTGACCTGGGGCGATTCCCAAACTGGAACATGCACACGCAGAACACCTGGGGGTCTCATTAAAATGCAGATTCTGATTCTGGGCGGGGCTGGGATTCCACACTTGGGAACAAGCTACCTGGGCGATGCTGACATCCCAGCAGGCAGGTAGGGAGGGGGGAGCCAGAGGATCAGCCCCAAGACTGAGGAGACCTGCCTGACTCCATTGGACCATTCGGGAGCAAAGATAAACCTCCGTTGGGTTACGCCACTGAGATTTGGGGATGTGTGACCTCGGCATAGCCTAATGCACCCTGATTAACGCAGTAGGTTGGGGGATTATCATGTAGTCAGGCAACCACTGAGCTGCTGCCAGGAGCTCACTGTGTGCCCCACGTGCCTCCCTCTTCAGGAGGCACTCACTGTCCGGGTGGTGCAGTGCCAGGGGGCACCTGAGAGGAACAGCCCTTACATTTTGCTCCCTTGGGGCATCGAGGAGCCCCTCTTACCACATCCTAATCCAGGCACTGTGAGTCCTGGGGCGAGCCAGGATTTGAACCCAAGATGTTTTGATTTATGAACCTGTGTTTCCTTCCAGAAATGCAAAGGGCAGCAAGGCTCATTTTGGGGTCTTATTTGTGGGGAAGGCTATAGCAGCAAGCCGAGAGACGCACGGGTCCCCTGGACTGTCACAGCCCTCTAGCACCAAACTTGGCAGTTTGGGGGACCTGACCCACGTGTAACCAGTCAGCAAAGTGGCAGTTCCCACCGCAGGCTTTCAACACTCTGAACTGTGCATGGAAGGCTCATCTCTGACACTTCCATCACCAAACGCCCCGATGCCAGGCCGCGTGCTTCCAGAACTGGCCGGGCCCCAGGGCCTCCCACTGTCCACACGCTGCCATCCTCGGTTATGAGAGAGAACAAGTTCCAAGCAAACAGCCATACTCTGACTCAGAGAGGCCCTGGTGGGTGTGGGGGGGAGGATGGTGGTGGCAGCACTTCCACTCATCCCTTGTCACCTCCCTGGCCCACGCTGGCTCATGCCTTCTTCACTCCCCTGGGAGCCCACTGCAGCCTCACATCCTGGCTGTCGGCGGAGGCCCTCCCTCAGATGCTGCCCTGAGCTGTGCGCCTATCCCGGCTCCTCCCCACACCTAAATTCTCCTGCCTTGCCTTCTTGCCTCAGACAGAGAAGTGGCTCCACACTGTCCCTTCCAGGAAAAATTGATCAGCGGTGATAGAAGTCAGAATAGTGAGTAGCTGGAAAGGGCATGAGGAACCTTCTGGAAATGTATTGTGCCTTGGGTGGTGGTTACAAGGGTGTGCACATATGTAAAGAGTTGTCAAGATGGGGGCATCTGGGTGCTCAGTGGTTAAGTGTCTGGCTTTGGCTCAGGTCGTGATCCTGGGGTCTTGGGATTGAGTCCTGCATCGGGCTCCCCACAGGGAGCCTGCTTCTCCCTCTGCCTGTGTCTCTGCCTCTGTCTCTGTATCTCTCATGAATAAATAAATAAAATCCTTAAAAAAAAAAAAGAGTTGTTGAGATATATACTTCACAGTACACATTACCCCTCAATCTAAAAAATATATACCACTGAGAGCTCTATTAGCAGTAGCCAAAATAAGTAACAAAACCACAAGATAAGGTTTTGGAGTCCAGTGGACCTGCACTGAAAACCTGGCTCTATTTTCTGGCTGTGTAACCTTAGACAAATTACTTAACCTCTCTGAACCTCCCCTTTCTTATTGAGGCAAAGACTGTGAGGATTAGAAACACCACATTTTATAAAAACAAAAACAAAAACAAAAACAAAAAAACCCTTAGCCTAAGGCTGGCTTCCTCTGTGTGCCATTTATGTAATCACTTTAATTGTTCTTAAAACCAGTGGTCCTAGCAAGGACAGGGCACGGGAGTGGTCTTCCCTGGGTGCAGGCAACAAGAGGGGTACATTGTCTGCAGAGAATTTAAAGATAAAATGAAACTTATGAGAAGTCAGTATATAAATAGAAATACAAATCATGTCAGTATTGGGGCGCCTGGGTGGCTCAGTCGGCTGAGCCTCTCACTCTTGGTTTCAGCTCAGGTCATGATCTCAGGGTCTTGAGACTGAGCCCCAAGTCTGGCTCACACTCAGCTCAGAGACGCGGAAGACTCTCTCCCTCTCCGTTGCCCCTCCCCCTGCTCTCTCTTTCTAAGATAAATACATCTTTTAAAAAATAAATAAACCATGTCGTATGTAAATATAAATCATGTCAGTCATAAAATACTTCGTCCTGAAAACATTTTTTTGGTCCAAGTTCTAAACAATTGATGTGGTAACTGTTGAATTTTACTCATATGTATGTAAGCTTCAAATTTAGCACATTTTAATTCCTTATTCTTTTATTTTTTCTTTTAGAGAGAGAAAGAGAGCAAGAGAAAGCTCTCTCTTCCACAGGGGATGGGCAGAGGCAGAGGGAGAGAGAGAATCTCAAGCAGACTCCATGCGGGGCCCAATTTCACAACCCCTGAGATCATGACCTTAGCTGAAATAAAGAGTGGGGCGCTTAACCGACTGAGCCAGCCAGGCACCCCCTAATTTCTTACCCTTTAATAAACCTATCCTACATGGAAGTGAACTTGGAGGTCTCTAGGAAGACAGCTGCAGAGCGCACATGAACTCAGGAACGTGTGACCAGAAGCAGAAGCTCTTGATGGTTCAGAATCCTGCACAGCCCTGTCTCCAACCCTGGGGGTGCGATTCTGTACCCCAACAGTAGATCCAAAGCAAAAACAGTCACAGAGTGATGGTGAAGACGAAGATATAGGTATTTCAATTCTCTCGTTCTATGTGAGTTCTTGGAGTTTGGGCTTGTGCTTAAAATTAAAAATAGTGAAACAGTGTGACTGCGAAGGGGGGCTGTTTTTGTTTGGTGAGTGCAAACTTCAGTTCATACGTGAAAAGTATTTGTCTCATCTCGTGGTTATTACTGAAAATAATCCTGTTGTGCGCAGGAGCGGGGTGCTCAGCAACGATCCGCTCTGGGTGTTTGGCACCCTAGGCACACCTTGGACTAAAACATAAGCATGTAGAGATGAACGCACACTGCATCTCCTTCCCTCCAGGCCTGGGGACACCCCCACCCCGACCCTGCCCTCCTCTTCCTCCAGCCAGAACCACCGAGCCTAGTGTGCATTTCCACCTTCCTCCATCCCATCCCCTCCTCCCCTGGGGACTGCAGTCGGGAGGGAGTCTCCCCCTCAGTCACTCAGTCTGACCCTAAAGCAGGTCGCTCTTCTTCCTCATCCCTGGCCCATTCTAGAACCCAGGGCCCTCACTTGGAGGTCTGGAGTACTGGTGGAGACCATGGGGGTCCAAGCCTTCCCAACCCAACTCTTGACACCACCTGCTTAGTGTCTTTACCAAATTCTGTAGTCCAAGGCCTTGTCTTCACATCCCTCACCCCCAGTGGCTGGACTGTTGGAGGTGCCCCCAGAAATTGATGGTTTGAATTTGGGTGTCCTGCTCCCCCCCCCCCCCCCGCCGTGTACACCACCACTCCCCACCTCCCTCAGCTCCGGCCACACTTTAGCTCCCAGAATAGGCACATTATCATGCTCACCCCCGCCTCTAGACGTTTGTAAGCACTGTTCCCTCTGCCTGCCACATTCTGCCTTCTGTTACCCTCTTTCTGTGGTTCTCTGTAAAGGCACCTCCTCCAGGAAGCCGTCCCTCACCTTCGGTCTGGACAACGACCCCTCCTCAATATGCCAGGAAGTCCACCTGTCTTCGCACTGCCATCTCCCACTCTGGGTTTTGTCCAAAGTCACTGTTGTGTTTCCAGCTCTCACAGACGGGGGCCTCGGAGTTGGTTGAATGAAACGAAATGGTTTTGGTCTTTCCAGATCACCTGGCAGGGCCCAGCAAGTGCCAGCACACAGTAGGTCCAACCTGCACGGGCCCATCACCATGGGCCACCTTCCAGAGCCCAGGGAAGCAGGCCGGAGGGAGGCCCCTTGTTGCCAAAAGCAAACAGGCCGCCCAGGGAAGTTTTGCTCTGGGTCACACCCGCCTCTGGGTGGCTGCCAATCTTCCTGCCAGAAACCACAGGCCCAGCCGAAACTGCCCAGAGTCCGGGCCACGGGGCTTCGGAGGACGTGGGTCAGCGCTGCACACGGGCTATTTGCTGAGCTCTTCCTGGGTCCGCAGCCCCCCAGGGCTCGGGCAGGGGTCTGGGGGCAGAGCCACAGCAGCAGCAGCAGCTCCGAAGGCCCCCTTGGGCTGGGAGGAGCTAGAGAGGCCCCTGCCAGCCTGTCACAGGCTCTTGGCACTGGCTCTGGCTTTCACACACGCAAACACAGACACACGCACACGCACACACTCACACTGGCAGGCACCCGCTTGGTGGCCTCCACGTCTCATCTTCAGGTAAATGGGCTCATCAGTGGGAGCATGAGGATGGAGAGAAGAGAAGGAATGTAGAGACCAGTGTGTGTGTGTGTGTGTGTGTGTGTGTGTGTGTGTGTGCGCTCCTGGGAGTGACCTCACAGCCTCCGGAACATAAAGACTTACAGGTCCTGCCTCCCAGGCTCAAAGCTGGCTCCGTGGGGGACACAGTGACATGAGAGGCACACCACAGACCCTCCTTCTGGCCTTCTCCCTCCTCTGCCTCCTCTCAAAGGTAAGGGCGCCCCGGGCCCCAGGACGTCCTGCTGACTTCCTTGGTGTGGTGGGGGAGGTGTGAAATCCCGGCCAAGGATCCCCTGGGGGAATTCCTGCAGGTCCCTCAAGGTGGGCACAGCCCAGCTTCCCCCCCTGGTACCCAGACACTTGCCTCTGGCCAGCTCTGCTATGTGACCCCAGGCAAGTCCCTCCTCCTCTCTAAGCCTCACCTGCTTCCTCAGCTAAAGGGGCATAATGATCACGAGGCACTTTGGCAATTCAGCGGAAGTACTCGGTGCAGGACCTGGGACATGGCAGGTGTTCAAAGAAGAGGGCCATGGCTATTAGCAGTCCCCAGGGCCCTTCTAAGCTGCCGTGGGCGTCCTCACTATAAATGGGGAGACACAACATACAACCTGCTTTGCCTAACTCAGAGCCAGGACTTGAAGGGATGTTGGTGTCTCACTGATTGTAAAGTTCATACTGCAAGGGCATTAATGCTGTTGGCAGTGAGTGACCTGCAGACCCTGGCTGAAGGGGTACAGGGAGTCACCTCATGGAATAATGATCTCCTCTTATGGAACATTTTCCAAAAGGTTTGTGAAATAGCTACCTTGCCTAACATATCCAATGACCTCCTAAGGAATTATTATTCCCTGTTTTTGGTCAAGCAGGGCTCAGAGAGGGCAAGCAACTTGCCTAAAATCACACAGCAAAGAAACATCAGAGTAACAGAGGAGGTGGAGCCCAGGATCGGCTTGGGGTGGTGTGTGGTGGGGGAAGGGACCCTTCTATTTGCACCTCTCCTGCCCCTGCCTCTTCCCCTACCTGGACCAAGGCCACAACTGCTGAGCCCTGTCATTCCCTCAGCAAATGCTGCGTTCCTGATGCCACGGAGATCGGCCCCACCACAAGCCATGATCTCACTGTAGGTTCACACTCCCTTGAGGAGCACGGCCGGAGCTTTCTCTTGTGAGGTCCTGAGCAGTAGTGGGGGCAAGGCTGAGAACCTTGCTGGCAACCTGACCCCACTGTTTCTTCTCCTGAAGGGGCTGAGCAAAACGTGATGCCTGAGCAGGTGGCTTGGGGAGTTGGAGCAGGGGATTTGGGGTTCCCAGGCCCAGGCTTAAATGAAAGACCAAAATGAAGCCATCCTGGACCCACTGTCCACCCCTCCCTTCTTCCCCGTCCCAGGGAGCCAGGCAGCATCATGCACAGAACTCAGGGACTTAGTCATCGTGAAGGTGGAAAGCCACAACAATCCTCAGAGAGAGGACTCCAAGTCTTCCAGCAGGCTGTGGGCTCCTGGGCTCGGGCCTGTGAACAGACGCAGGTGGCAGAGACCTGGAAACGGACAAAGTCACAGTGACCAAAAGCTAGCCAGGAGCTCATTTAATCCCTGTCACAATTATAAGACAGGTGATCTCCACCCCATTTTACCGAGAAGGAAGTGGCTCCCTCCCCACGAGGCAGTTAAGCCTTATATTGAAGGTCACACAGCTCATCAGTGATACGACTTGGATTTCAACCCTTCCCTAGAATATTCCATGTCCAGGGCTCTTCCCTGTGGTGGCTGCAGCAAAGGTCTGGGGAAACCACATGTATCGGGTGATTAGGAAGGGCCTGGAGATCGAGGGAGTCCAGAGAGGGCCTCTCTCTCCTTGGCTGTGCTCCCTCGACCTGTCTCTGTCCCTCCTGAACAAATCAGTAAACTGAGGCAGAGGCGAAGCTGGCAACAGAGCTGCCCAGGGACAAGAAGTAGGTGTGGTAATAAAAGCCTGGTCCTTGGATTCATATGAATCTGGATTCTGGTTCTGACTCTACCTTATATCGGTGATGTCACTACACTGTTTTGAGCATCTGTTTCCTTGTCTTTACAGTGGGCACAAAGCTGGTACCTCCTCTTACAGGGTTAGACAACATGTTACAGCTCACGGCTTGCCCGCGGTAAATGTTAGCCACAATCATCAATATTATTAGTGGCCCCTCCTGGGTATCAGGACCTGCACACCTGGCCTCAGCCACGCTCGCCCTGTAGAGAGCCCAGAGTGGGAACCTGGGTACAAAGCAGAAAGCCTGTGGCCTGGCACCCCTGCTTTCAGGTGGGAGGGACCCGAGAGCCAATTCTGGTCAGAGTTGCTATTTCTCACTAACCAAGGGAACCCAACCTCTGGTTTGAAAGGGAACCCCAGTGGCTCAGTGGTCGAGCATCTGCCTTTGGCTCAGGTTGTGATCCGGGGTCCTGGGATTGAGTCTCTATCAGGCTACCCATAGGGAGCCTGCTTCTCCCTCTGCCTATATCTCTGCCTCTCTCTCTCTGTGTCTCTCATGAATAAATAAATACAATCTTAAAAAAGAAAAGGAACCCCAAAGTCCAGCCGATTGCTCCTTAGGTTCATTCCATGAGAACCATTTCTGGATTTATTAAAGTACAGAATTAGGTTCCTATAGAGAGGCCCAAGATGCCACTGTAGACTTTCAGGCGACGCTGCTGCTGGTGGTCCAGACCAGGCTTTGAGGGGCAAGGCTAGGCCATCTTCTCTAGAATCTCTTCAGTATCACCCAGTCTCTAGCTTGGAACTCCTGCAGAGATGGCAACTCGTTCTCCTGTGAGGCTCCAGGCACCGAGCACCCACTTGCCTCATTGCCAGTGTTGTCTTAGGCGGGAGCCCCCTTCCCTCCAGGGCTGGTCGGCCAGTTTGGGGCGGCCCCTGGTGGCCAGGGTGCAAGCTGCAGGCCACTTAATGCAGGTTTGCAGGACTGGGGGGTCTTAGGGATGGGACAAAGTGGGGACCAGGGCGAAGGACTCATTGCCTGCTTTGGGGCCAGATACAAGTTAGGAGGTTATGTATTCCATTTTTGTAAACTTTAAGTCTTCCATTCTCCAAATAAAACCCTCTCTGGTCCTCCAAGGATCCTACTGACCTAAAGGTTGGTCTGTCACTGAAGGGGCCACTGGGAGCATCTTGAGTGATGTCTGCCTCTGGGTCCCCACCTTCAAATCAAATGGACATATGGGGAGACCATGGCATCTGGTTTCTGGTTTGGTTGTTTCTCTGTCCTGAGTGGGGAGGAGCGACCAGGATAGTTGGGTCAATGCCTTGACCCTGTCCCTGGGAAGGGTCCCTGGCTCAGGCTTTTCTTTATTCCAGGATCCTTAAGGAGGTTCCCAGCTCTGCAGCTAACACACTGTGACTTTTGGCAAGACCTTTTCTCTCTCTGGAGCTCAGTTTCCCCCACCTCACCCTGGCAGGGGAACGGGGGTTAGTACTGGAGCAGACGTGCTCCAAACCTAGCTGAGCACCAGAAGTCCCTGGACAGCCCGATAAAAATACAGATTCCAGGGCCCTGTCTCTGGAAGTCCTATTTGGCAAATCCCAGGGGAGGCTCGGGGATCGGCATTTTACCAAGTCTCCTGGCTGATTTGATATGTATCCAGAAATATGTTCTGGATTATTCCAAAGTCCAAAAACATCTATGATACTATTTGATTGATTCAGCTGTCAAGATAACTATTCGCAGTCTACATGCCAGAAAATGTACCGTACCTTGTCATTATAATCCTTGCTTTTGTTGCTTTTGCCTTTCTGTAAGCTTCTAGAGGGCAGGGCCTAATCATTCGTCGTAATTTCCAGTGGTGATCATCATAGCTAAATGCACTGAACATCTACGGCATCTAGGCTGTGTGCTCAGGATTTAATACGTACCATTTTATGTACTCCTGGAAACAATCCTGAGTTAAATATTACTTTTGCTCCCTTTTTACAGATGAAGAAACTGAGGCTTGGAGAGCTTAAGCAACTTGCCCAAGGTCACTCAGCTAATAAGGAGCAGAGTTAGGATGGGCTCTCTAGTCCAAAGTCCTTGCTCCTGACCACAATGCCACACTGCCTCTTAGGGAGGAGAGTCACCAGATGGCCAGGGTTCAAGGCCAGGTCTGTGTGACCCTGGGGCCCAAGTGTGGACCGCTCACTGACCACCTTGAATGACCATGGCTGAGTGACATGCTCTGTCTCTGCAGGTGTGTGCTCAGCTGTGCCCAATGCCGTGTGCCTGCCCCTGGCCACCACCCCGATGTCCACCGGGGGTGCCCCTGGTGCTGGATGGCTGTAGCTGCTGCCGGGTGTGTGCGCGGCGGCTGGGGGAGCCCTGTGACCACCTCCACGTCTGCGACCCCAGCCAGGGTCTGGTTTGCCAGCCCAGGGCGGGCCCTGGTGGCCGAGGGGCCGTGTGCCTCTGTAAGCAGGTTTGCGGGACTCACGTGGGTATGTTTGGGAGGGTCAAGGCTGAGGGGTCCCAAGCTGAAGAGGAGCTCTTCTCTCTCTACCTCCTCACTTCAGGTACACCAGCCCAGCTGTTCCAGCCAAACCTGGGGATCCTGGTTTCCCTAGGCCCTCCCTCTGCTCCTCCCCTTTGACCACACCCACCACCTGAATGGATATCCCCCCTCCATTCCTACCTGCCCAAATCACAACCAACCATCAAAGCCAAGCTCAAACACTCCTCCCCTGAGAAGTCCTCCCAGATTCTTCAAACCAGGAATCACTATCCTTTCTCAGGGCCTTCACAACACTTCTGAGAAGATAAAAAATGCCATCATTTATTTAGGACACAGAGTATTATGTGTCAGGCAGTACTGAAACTTACCGCATGATCCTCCCATAAATCACATAATCCTCACAGTGATCCTATGAGGTTTGTCCTTTCAGACTCATTTTGTAGGTGAGTAAACTGAGGCTCAGTAATATTAACTGGCACAGCTTGGGACCAGATCACACAGTTTCTGAAGCAACATTTCATTCTGTCTTCTTCCTGGATCGGGAGCCCCTGGACCATAGTTTGAATCCTGGGTTTGCCATTTACTAATGACCTTGAGCGTGTGACATCTCCCACCATTCCAAGCTTTGGTGCCCTCTGATGCCTTAGATCAGAGTTTTTTAACTTTGCCGTTTGGCTCAGATACTTCTTTGCTATAATTCTTCATGGCGGTGTGTGTGTGGGGAGATGCTGTCCTGTACATGGTAAGACATTCAGCAGCATCCCTGGTCTCTGCTCACTGGATGCCAGTAGCCTGTCCCCCACCTTCAAGTCGTGACAATCTGTTTTAGACATCGCCAAATGTCCCCTGGGGTACAAAATCATCTCCAATAGAGAACCACTTCTTTAGAGAAACAGAAAAACATGAGGGCGTTTTTTTTTTTTTTCAATAAGTCTTGTAGAGCAATCTACCTCTATCATCTATTTGCATGCATCACTTTAAAAAATGAACAAGAGAGAGAAGGGCTCATGAGTCACTGATAATGAGTCCACTTATAGAAAAAAACAAGGTTGGAAAAAACCCAACAAGACTAATAGACATGAAGTTATCAATACTAAATCCTTGTTAAATGCTTTTTTTTTTAAGATCAAGGGAGTATAATCATGAGAAAATAGTGCTTTGTTTTATGAACTCAGATGATTGCTAATAAAAATGTAGCTAAAGGAAAAATGAGATAAGTAACACTCAGCTTACCAGGCTGTTGTTTTAATTAGCCAGGACACATGTAAAGCGTTTGGCAGAGCTTCACTTATTGAACACTTGCATAGCATTTACTGTGTGCCAGGCTCTAAGGGTTTCACAAATACCACCTCATTTAATCTCACAACAACCATATGAGGTTGGTACCAATGTCATCTGCATTTTATAAATGGTAGAGAGAGAGAGAGAGAGAGAGAGGAGAGGGGAGAAGGGAGGAGAGGAGAGGAGAGGAGAGGAGAGGAGAGGAGAGGAGAGTGGCACACAGAGGGGTTAGGCAACTTGCCCAAGGTCACACAGCTTATAAGTAGCTGAGCTGGGATTTGAACTCAGGGAGCTGGCTTCACAATCTTCATTTCCATCATTCTACTGCCTGACACTCAGCATTTGATTAGTACATATTGGCTGCTGTTGCCCCTGAGTCTAATAAGGGGCTTTCCTTATTCCACCTTGATCCAGACTTCAAACAGCGGGAGGTAAAAAATGTACTTTGCTTCTTCCTACAACTCCCAGCCCTGGTCAGGCAGCGTAGTGGGTGCTTATGAACCAAATCTGGAGGCTGATGAACCCCACAGGTGAGCCCGCACAGAGGCAGAGTCTAGGTCTTGGCTCTGGAGGGAATACGCTGTCCCAAACGCTCCTCTCAATTCCTAGTTGGACGGACCTCTGACAGCAGACTCCAAGCTGTGCCTGTCCACTGTCAGCTCCCGATACCCCCACCCCCCGATACTCCACCCCAAGCGTGCAGCCTCCCCAGCTCAGCCCAGGGCATCTCCACCCTTCCTGGCGCTTGACGTCTCACGTTTTGCACACCCCACATACGGCCCACCAGCAAAGTCTTCACGATATTCTAAAACCTGACATTCTGGTCCCTTCTCAATCCATCCGCTGCTACCAGCCTGGTCTGACCCTCATCCTCACGTGCTGGGTGTTGCAGCAGCCCCGTAATGGCCTCCCTGCCTCTGTCCTTGCCCCCTACTCTGTTCCCAACACTGCACCCCAGGGCCCCTTTCAATACACATCAGATCCCATCCCTCCTTGTCCTCAAGGTCTCCAACAGCTTCCCACAACCTCGGAGTAAAAGCCAGTCCTCTCAGTGGCTACAAGGCCGCACGGGGTCCTGCTCCTGTTTTCTCTCTGACCCCATCCAACTCCCTTCCTCCTTCCTACTCAATGCTTCGACCACACTGGCTTATTTCTTTCCTTAAATACCCCAGCGGGGGTGGGGTGGAGTGGGGTGTCCCACCTCAGGGCCTTTGCACTGGCTCTTTGCTCTACCAGCATTCTTTCCCCCAAATATCTACATGGCAAGGTCCTGCATCTTCTTCCCACCAAACTCAAATACCACCTTCCCCCAACCACCATATTCAACACCTCTCTCCTGAACCTTGCCCTCCATTATTCTTCTCGCTGTAATCACCACTGGACATCACAGACTCCTTATTTCCACTAGAGCAGAAGCTCCAAAGAGGGCAGGATTTATGTCTGTTTTAGTCACTGTTGTATCCCAAGTCCCTGGAACAGTGCCTGGTGCCCAGTAGGCACCCAGTAAATAACAGCTGGCTGAATGATTGATAGAAGCAGCTCTGGAGAGGCTAGCAGTAACAGGCACCACTCAGCACATCCTGTGGGCAACCCCTTGACACATGTGATTTCATTTTACCCTTAATGAGGTAGGTCTTACTATTAAACCAATTTTGCAGATAAGGGAACTGGGGTTCAGAGGGGTGAAGTCACCTGCCTAAAGTCACATGGTATGCAAGTGACTAAAGGTAAAAAAAAAAATCCTGTTATTCCTTTTCCTGTTAGGGACTCTCGGAGGGAAAGAGGGATGCAGAAATCACCAGATGAGAGGACTGGGCTCTGAAGTTGAGGGAAGTTGCTGGACAAGGGGGCATTGGAAGGGCCTGGAAGGAGAAGTAGAGTTTTGGCAACTATATGTGTACATGGTGCTGATAGGGAGGTGGACTGAAGAGTATGTTTGAAGGAGCCTCCTGGCATTTGGGACCATGTACAAACATGTGCACAGACCCCAGGATGGGGAGTGGCTGCCCAGGAATCATTAGTCTCACCCCCAGCCAGCTTCGAGCTGGAGGACCAGGAGAGGTGCCAGGAAACCTTGATAAAATTATCACCCCTCCAGCTGCCTTTCCCAAATAATCCCTCTGTTTACCAGGTCATCCCAGAGACCAGGAGGCCCCAGGGCTATGGCACCAGGAGTCTGGTGGGGGACCCCTAGGGATTAAGGTTTCCAGGAAACCAGCAGCACATGATCCAGGCAAAAATGTCAGGGATTTGGAGCCAAAGGGCTGTAGCCTGGAAGAAAGAGGGAGACAGTTGTCACTGGTCCCTGGAACAACCACCACTCACTCCTATTAACTGAGCATCCACTATGTTCCAGGCTTAGGTGAAATGCTTTAAGTACACTAGTTCATTTAATCTTCTGGTGGCCCTGAGAGCAGGGTACAGCAGCTCAGAGAGATGCAGTAACTTGGCCCAGGTCCCACAGTTAGCAATTGGGTACAGAGGCTGGCACCCACATCTGTGCAGTTCCCAAATTCCTGCATGGGCCTACTGGAATTTTTTCTTTGAAGACCTGGGAAAACCTGCCTTCCAGTAAATCCTTCCTCAGACCCCACTGAACTGCCACCCACGTCTCCAGGACCTCCAGATTCCTCCTTGCAGTGCACTTTCCCAGCAGCTCACTTGTGCCTCTCCACAGTATTTCATTCTGTTTTGGAGATGGTGGCTTTCACATCTGTCACCTGCCTGGCCCTCCATCTCTTAGGACAAGGGTTGTGTCTTCGTCCTGTCTAGGAACCCAGTGGTTGGCACACAGGAGGGGCACTGTACATATCTCCAGAGCAATAAGAAATCAGAACTCTTTTATTAGTGTCTCTCATGTGCTGGGCCTGGCACGAGGCATTCATTCGAAGGGCATTTGCTGAGGGTCTGTGGGTCCCCACCATGCTCTGAGCCAGTACAGGGCAGAGTGGGGGGAGGGAGCCAGTATGAACACTCTCAGCCCTCGCCCCCCAAGGAGTGCTTGTCCAGTGGAGGAAGTGGGAATAATGCCCCTATCTTGAAAGGTGCATTTGAAGTGCGTTTCTTGAGCACCTACCATATGCCTCGCACCATGCTAGACGTTCTGTACATATGATCTCATGTACCTGAAGGTGCTGAGCTGTTCTCATCATTGCCATTGTTAAGGTGACTCAGAGAAGGTAAGTGACTTATCCGAAGTCACAAAGCCAGCAAGGTAAGCCCTGGCCAGACAGTGATGACCACAACATAGCAGATGCACACTGTAGGCTTGTTGCATGTACTCTCAGTGTGTATTTAAGTTATATATTATTAATATATAGTAATTAATTATGTTAATAGTAACAACAGAACAGCTGGGATCTATTGGAGGTTTCTTTTATGTTGGATTCATTACATAAATCATTTCATTTAGTCTCTACCACAACCCTGTGAAATAAGTGCAGTTAGAACTCATTTTGCAGACAAGGAAACTGAGGCAAGAAGTGAAGTCGCTTAGCCAAGCTCCATAGCTAATAAAAAGCAGGAAAAAAAATTAAAAAAAAAAAAAAAAAAAAAAAAAAGCAGAGCAGGGACTCCAACCAAGCCAATGGTCCCACAACCCCTGTATTGGGATGCGGTATGTCACTGTCTTCCCTCGAGCGCCAGGGCAGGTTGGCAGTAGGGATGGGGTGTGCATTGCAGGCTGGAGCCCCTCTGCAGTGCTCAGACACCTGTAAGGGCCCTGGTCTCCCGGCAGGTCTGGGCCAGCTCTGCAGAGAGAGGCTAGCACGGTCTTGCTCAGGGAAAAGTTGGGGGTCACAGACGGGGGTCCGGTTTCTCCTCCGCAGGGGGAGATGATGAAGGGAGCTGTGAGGTGAACGGCCGCGTGTACCGGGACGGGGAGACCTTCCAGCCCCACTGCAGGATCCGCTGCCACTGTGAGGACGGCGGCTTCACCTGTGTGCCGCTGTGCAGGGAGGACGTCCGGCTGCCCAGCTGGGACTGCCCGCATCCCCGGAGGGTTGAGGTCCCCGGCAGGTGCTGCCCTGAGTGGGTGTGCGACCGGGGAGGGGAGCTGGGGACCCAGCCCCTCCCAGCCCAAGGTGAGTGCGGGCCGGCCCAGGCCAGGGGCGGGGCCACCTGGGGGCAAGGCCACCTGGGGGCGGGGCCACCTGGGGCGGGGCGGGGGCGGGGCTTCGTGCGACACACCTGGACCTGTCAAAGCGCAGGTTTCCCTGACAGCAGCTGGGAGGGGCTGGTGGCTGAGGAGACAGGGAAAGCCCAGTGGGGAGTCACAAGACCTCTTTCAAACTGACAAAACGAGAAGGATATAATTTTAAATCATAAATAATGGAAAACAAAAATTGGTGGCAGAGCGGGGAAGGGAAAGGAGGACTGGGATACTTGAACGCTCGCATTTCATAACAGAGGTATATTATTATGAAGTATGCTATTAATCTATTTCTAATATATCGACATGTCTTAATAATATATTTACATAAATATTATATAATATTGTTAATATGTCATTCTTTGGGCTTATCCAAAGAGGAATTTAAAACTGAACCAGGTGAGGTGGTTGTCTCTAGGATGTGGGCTTAGAGGTGGGTAGAGGCGGGCAGAGGCGGAAGAAAGACAGCTCATGCTGTAAACTCTTTAGTTTTAGAGATTTTGTTACTGTTACATCACTGGGGTATTGTTATTATACGAATGTGATCTTTTAAAAGAAAGGCATCTGAAAAGAAGGCATTGGTCCGTTAATGATGGTGCCACATGAGAGTAGAGCATCGTGGGTTCAGCATGAAGTCTGCCTGGGTTCTAAGCCCAGCCTCACTATTTCCTAGATGTGTGACTCTGAGAAAGTTGCTCGCCTTCTCTGTGCCTCAGTTCCTCCCACTGTAAGATGAGAGTAAGGGCATCCACCTTGCAGAGCTGCTGTGAGGACCAGATGAGTAAACACAAGAAAAGCAGTCACGGCAGTGGCTTGCACGCAGCACTCCATCCATGGTGGCTGTCATTATCCCTATGATGGAATGGGACATATCCACTTAAATACAGAGGAGAATGCCAGTGAGTTCATCTTATGTATAAAAAAGCAGGATAGGACACTGCAGTTGCAATTTGATTTCCATTATGCGTGTACGTATGTGTGCATGCCCACTGCACACAGGGGCATACCACGCAGCCTTTATCAACCTCAGCATGAGTGACGGTTGAGCTGGGTGATGCTCTGTAGTGTGAGAGCTGTCCTGGGCACTGGAGGATATTTAGCAGCATCCCTGCTGGGTTCCAGTACCCCCACTCCCAGTCATGACCACCAGAATGCCTCTAGACATTGCCAAATGTTCCTGGGGGGAGGGACAAAGTCACCCCCAGTTGAGAACCGTTTGGTTGATAAGGACCAGAAGAGAGGACACCAAAATATTAACAGAGCATACTAAGATGTGAAGAGGAGGGAAAGCTAGATCGTGAACCCCTCCTCTTGTTCCAGGTACAGGCTTAGAAAGTCTAGCATCTTTGCCACTGGGTCACAGCATCACTCTACACTGGCCACGACCTCCTTCCTGGAAGATGCCATGGGGTGCAGAAATGAGAAACCCACCATTACTGGGGTCATCATGATGGTCATCATGGCCAACACCATGAGAGTTGCCTAGTAACCAACACAAATGAGGTGCTTTGGGTAGCAGCACCATTCTAAGTATGTCCCCTCCATTATTTTATTCAGCCCTGACATCAACCATTAGAAAATTTACATAGGAAGAAACTGAGGTCCAGAGAGGATAAGCAACATGACAAAGATGGCACCACCAGCAGCTGGCTTGATTTGGCTGCCAAGTCCTGACCTCACAGTGCTGACCTCCCTTTCTTCCCCAGGACCCCAGTTTTCTGGCCTTGCCGCTCCCCCACCTCCTGGAGTCCCCTGCCCAGAATGGAGCACAGCCTGGGGCCCCTGTTCAACCACCTGCGGGCTGGGCGTGGCCACTCGGGTATCCAACCAGAACCTCCTCTGCAGACTGGAGACCCAGCGCCGCCTGTGCCTGCCCAGGCCCTGTCCACCTGCAAGGGGGCGCAGCCCACGGAACAGTACCTTTTAGAGCAGGGCTGGGAATAGGGAGGCTCAGTGCCCACCCTCCCCAGCAGGCAACCCCGTGCTTGGGCCCTGAGCAGACGGCAGATGGCCCCTCCCCACGCCCTTGGCTGGGGCAACGGTATCCTGGCCCCGGAAGACAAGAATGTTCACAAGCCGTCTGGTCCATCTGGACCCTGACATAGAGTCGGGATGTATGCCCCAGTCCCCCTTCCTCTACCTCACAGCCTAGGGGCTGGCCAAGGTGTCCCGGGTCTTCTGGTTCATTCCTGGCCTCCACACAGCCTTTATCAAACATGCGCATGGGCAAGCTTTCCAGCAGTTAGGGCAACCAGCTGTCCTTTAATCAGTAGGCCAAGGCAGGTGCTGGGCTGGACTGGCTGTCTTTCTGGGGGTGTGGTGAAGAGGGGCACACAGATATTCTGAATCTCCTGCTCCCTTTCCTGGAGTGATGAAAGAACATCCCCGAATATGTGCCTATACCAGAGCCTGTAGGTCTGGCTTATGCTGTAGAAAGCCCTCCCGATCCTGGGCAGAATTCAGAGGCTGCATTCTTTGCGAAAATCACGAGGTGAAATCACAGTTTTGAAGAAAGTCAGAAAACAAGCCTGAGAGTGATTTGTTAAACCCAGCTTGTATTAATAAGAATGAACCTTTCTCAAGCACCTGCCATGTGCCAGGCACTGAGCTAGACACTTTATATATAGGTTGGTGCTTTGCGACATTTAAGACCAGAGGAAAGTAGGGGAGAATTAAGGATAACCCCTGGGGACTGGGGAACGTGGCTCAAAATAAACCAACCCAAGTGTGACATTCTGTCTGAAGTCTCATGTTTTATTATTTTTTTTAAACCCTACACATAAATTTTCCATCCTCCTCTGTGATCTACACGTGTGTGTTTAAAAATAACAACTGTGTTCCCATCAGACTCCAACCAGGAAATTAGAGAACATGCTCCATATTTAAACAGGGATTTCTTCTTACTAAACTAATGTTATTGAGGCATGGTTTACGCGCAGTGAAACACGTGGGCCTTAATATACTGCTTACCCAGTCTTTGCAAACATGCACACCTGTGTAATCAACACCTCAATCAAGGTACAGAACATTTCCAGAATCTCAGGAGGTTTCCTGTGGCCCCTTCCTGGTCATCCCCTCCACCCCTGAAGGCAACCACTGTTCTGAGTTTTACCACCATAGATGACGGGATAGCTGCCAGTTCTCGAACCTCACCTCAGTAGAATCATGCAGTAGGTATTCGCCTATGAATAGCTTCTTTCACTCGGTACCACCTGTCGGGATGGAGGGTTTGAGGGAGAGCCCAGAAGCTGGGGCCCGCCAGGGCAAGATGGCATCAGAGCAGGGCTGTCTGCTGGGAGCAGATTCAGCTTTGTAGACCTAACAAAATGCCGATAGAAATGGGGAGGTAGACCTGGCTTCCCCCAGTTTCTGGTAGTTCCTCCTATTGGTCAAACCCACTGGGAAGGTGAGAGATGAGGGAGCCCAGGAGCTTGGGGCCCTGAGATAGGAAGCAGATCAGGGGAAGGGGTGACCCCAGCTCACAGGATGCACATGACCTGCCCCTCAGAACACCTGCCTCCAGCACTTTGCTCCAGTATCACCTCCTCCAAAAACCCCAGATAGAGAATCACCGGCAGCAGCTGAGCCACCCAATCTTCACAAACAGAAGTAACCTCAGTTCACAGAGGAGGAGACTGCTTGGAAAGGGGACATGTCCAAAAGCTGGTCTGCAGCTGCGGGGAGGTGTTAGCTCATGCCAAGCTTACCTGATTCAAACCTGGGTTGATGGTCTCTCCCAGGTTGAGGGTTTCAGTAAATCAGGCTCCCCAAGGGTAAACTCTGAACACATTGCTGGAAAAAAGTTCAGGTAATGTCTCTAGAGACGGTGACAATGAGGATTGCATTGATGGTGACAATGACTGTTACAACAGACTTGCATTGAATGATTCCTGCATGTGGGGCCTTTGCTGCCAAGGGCTTTACCCACCATTGCATGTTTCTCTTGGGACATCCCTAAAGGAAAGTGTGACTGATGTTCTCATTCTAGGGATGGGTAAACTAAGACTCAGAGCAATGAATGAGTTGTCCTAGGGGTGTGGTGCTGGACCCCTGGGCTGGCTGGCTGCAAGGCCTGTCACCTCACTACCAAGTAGCTAGGAACAGAGCCGCACAGAGTGGGCTCAGCCACCTGCCCCATCTTTGCTCTGGTGTCTCCTAGTGTGATCTTAGGCAGGGTACGTAATTTCATTGTGCTGCAGTGTCCCTTCCTTTAAAAAGGGGATAATGGCAGTACTCTGCACAGAGGGTTGTTATTATATGATTTAAATAACAGTTTTAGCTATCATTCCCATGACCTCTTAGTCCTTTAGTCTTTTCATCTGTAAAATGGGTATAAATAGCAATGCTAACCCTATAGGATCACCATGTTGAGTGAGTTCCCATCACCTAGGGGTGTTGTATTAGGTCAGTAATTCCTCTGTGTTCACTTGAAATACAATCTATTATTATTATCCTAGCCTCCAAGATTCTTTGCAAGTCAGAGAGTGATATGAGGCAAAGGCTGAGAATTTTCTTGTTTGTAAAGAAAAGCAGGTGATGTGAGGGCAAAGGCTATAGGTGAAAATCAGACTAACCCCCATTGAAACTCACAGCTAGAGGTGCTGGGCCCAGGCATCCTAGTTATATATATAATATATATTTTATATTTTACATATATAGTTTAAATATTTTATATTTAAGTAATATATTTATATTATAAATATATATAAAAATAATGTATTTCTTACATCTATCTTACATATATTATTTTATATATATTTATTTTAAAGATTTTATTTTTAAGTAATCTCTACACCCAATATGGGGCTTGAACTCACAACCCCAAAATCAAGTGTCACACGCTCCACCAACTGAGCCAGCCAGGAGCACCCAACCCCTCGTTATATTTATATTTGTAGTATCCACGTTGTTTCAAGTAACAATAGTGCATGCATTCCTTCTCAGCATTGTGTGGTATTCAATTGTATGAATATACTACATTTCATTTATGCATTCTATACTTATGGGTAGTTTCCAGTCTGCAGCTTTTATGAAGAGGGTATTGTGAACATTCTAGGCCATGTCTTCTGGTGGACAATGGTAAACATTTCTGTTGGATAAACATCTAGGAGTGGAATTGTTAGGGTCTGCACTCTTTATCCTGGGTCAGATATCTCCCAGTATGTGAGGTATCTAGACAATAGGTGTAAGGAGGTCGTCTCTATACAATAGGTGCTCAATAAAGACTTATTGCATAAATAATAAAAGAGCTAACATATTGAGCTCTAACCACATACAAGACTCTGTTCCAAGCATCTTCCATGTAATCACTCACTCGACCCCATAATAACCATTTGAAGTATAACTATGCCCATTTCCCAGACAGAGAAACTGAGATATGGCAAATTAAGGAAATAGCCTAAGTTCACAGAGTTCCCAGTTGGCAGAACCAGGATTCAAACCCAGAGAGTCCTGCTTGAGGGCCCATGCCCTTGGCCACCAGGCTCCCCTGCGTGTGGTCGCTGCAGCATTCAGGGGTAGGGCATGACAGCCTGGACAGGTGGCTGTGGGAACGGGAAAGAGGGAACGGATGGGGGAATCAACATAGCCCAATGTTGCCTGTGAGATCTGGTTTGAAGGATGAATGCGAAGAGCAGGAGAACTACCCAACACATCCCTGGGCTTTGTGCTGAAGGATGGCAGGATGGACGGGCCACACGGGCAGAAACCAGGGAGAGTGGGGGAGCCCCTACAGGTGGGAGGGGGTGTCCTCGTTGTTTTGAGTTTGAGGAGGCAGTAGTCACTCAGGACAGTGTGGCTGGAGGCAGCTAGAGATCAAAGATGGGTTGAGTAGACATGAACAGACTGACAAGACTTCAGGTTGGGAATAAGAGTTGCTCGCACAGAGAGGAGTAGATCATCAGATTGCCCTGGCCATTTAGTCATGGAAACACAGACAAGTCCGTGTGTATGCTGGTGTGTATAACCTCTCCTCACCCCTGTCCTCTCCACTGCTCCCCCCGCTGGGGTCCATCACCGTCTCTGCCGTGATGACTTCAGCAGCCTCCTCTTGCTCTCCTGGCTTCCACCCTGGTCCTTACAGTGTGGATCCTGTTAAAACCAAGCCAGACCATGTCACACAACCTACAGGGTCCTGCACTGTGTCCCAGTCACCTCTCTGCCCTCACCCCCTTGCTCATGCTCCTCTGTCCTCCCGGCTGTTTCTTGAACATGTCAGACACACTTCCTCCTCAGGACCTTTGCACTGGCTGTTCCTGCTGCCTGACATCACCTTCCCCCAGGTACCCCCCAATGACTAATCCCCTTTCTCTCTTTCTTGTGTGACTCATAAGTTAACACTCCACTGAGAACCCACTGAGAACCCCTCTTCCATTCCCCGATACATGTAGCACACATCATGGTGTGACATACTACCTGACTTGTTTGTCACGTTTATTATTTGTTGCCTGACTCTACAGTTGCTGGCTGGGACTTCTTATTTTCTGCCTTGCTCCCTGATGGATTCCCAGGACCTAAAAACATACCCAGGACAGAACCTGGCTTGGTCCTTACTGAATGAATGAAATAATATATTTTCCTTTTGAAAAAGGGATTTAATGGGGCTAAGAAAAGTAAATACATCGTTGTCAAATGGGAATGGCTGCCCAGTTGACAGTGATTGCCCAGTGGCCATGTCTGGGTGGATTAGGGCTCCCGCCCATCCCCACCCAATATTCAACCTCAATAGTTCTCAAAGTGGTGTCCCCAGACCAGAAACATCAGCCTCACCTGGGAACTGATTAGAAATGCAAATATCTCGTATTCCATTCCAGACTCACGGAAACTCTTGGGATGGGGCCAGAAGTCTGTTTTAGTAAGTCCTCCACCTCATTAGAATCGTGTAAGATTATTAGAGTGGGTAATAGCTCGCCAGGAGAATGGAAGACGGTAGTGCGCTGCTGCCCCCTTGCGGCACTGGCGTGCACGAACGGCCCGGATTCCTCCCTACTTGAGTCAGTCCTGCGGTTTGGTTTTCTTTACTGCAAAGACTTCACAGATGCCCAGACTGCACAGGTGCCCGTGAGGACACCTGCACTGCCCTGGGGGAGAGCTTTCCATCTGTCCCCAGGACGACTCCTCTGGTCCCTCTGCCCACAGCCCAGTCCCTCCGCCCAGGGCTAGACTCTGCAGCCAGAGGCTCTTTCTGGAGCACAGTTAGGGTTATGCCACAGCTTCAACCCCTCCAAGGCTCAGAGCTGCCCTCTGGGATGGGTCCAGACTCCTTCCATGACTCACGGGCCCTGTTAGGTCTTCCAGCTTCCTCTGTGCCCCACCACACTGGATGGTTGGGGCTCCCCACTCCGGCCCAGGGGCACTCCTTTCCTCAGGTCTAACCTGGGCTGATCCCCAATTGTTCTCCATATAGTCCTGGTTATCATGTCTACCTGAAGTCAACCCTTCCCTTGTGCGCTGGCTCCCACCTCTCTTGCCTCCTCAGGTGATGCGGCCCTGCCAGATGCCCTTTCCACGCCCCTGTCTTCCATTTCTCCCTCTCTTCCAGATGATTCCCATCAACATACACACATGTTGGCTACTCCGCTAACAAGAGGTAGGGATGTTCTCTTCAATGGGCAACTCCAGCAGCCTCATTGGGGGTGCCATGTGCTCTCAGAAAGTCCACCTGCCTCTTGATGGACGAAGTCTGGTCTAGGGTCAGCCAATCCTCAGCAAGAGGCTTGTGATGTAGCCGAT